ATTAAATTAAATATTTCTTATTATGATGCACAAATTCATTATTTTTACCTTCATGTCGTAATTTGCCAATCAAAAGATTTTTGACTTTGATTTCTTTTTCATATTGAGTAGTTTTACCAACTTCTTGTTTTATTTGCCTTAATTGATTCTACCGAGAAAAAAAAATATATATTTGAAATTAAAACCTTTTATCATGAATTTAGAAAAGCAAAATAATTTGTTTATTGATAATAGAAACTTGTAATTCACTAGCATACTTCTGCCAACAATGCTCTATCTTTATATTCTGCTAATTCTTTACTAGTTGTAGAAAGCCTTCGCTGCATTCCTTCAACTGCTTCTTTTATTTCAGATTGTTTAGCTATTTTGATTATTCATTGATATGTTATAAGTGGATAAAAAAAGTGCTTATATTTAATCATCTAATAGAATATATGAAATAAAATATAAAGTGTTGAATTTTTCATATATATATAAAATTAAAATTATCAATTTACCAGCTTCAAATTCTTCTAAAACGGCTTGTAAATTTGCCAAACTTTCAGATTCATTATTTTTTTCAATTTTCAAAGTTTCTTTTTCGTTTCTTAATAATTCTGTTTCCATTTCAAAATGTTTTATGCGGTTAAGTGAAACCTCTTTGGCACTTTTTAATTCCATTGCAACAACCTCCAATTCTTCTCTTTCACTCTCTGAACGATCCAAATCGTTTTGTAATTTTTTAATATAATTATCTTTCTCGTTAATTTCATTGGCTGATTGTTCTTGTATCTCAAAAATGTGAGATTGTAATGTTTCCAATTGACTTGTTATCCTTTGATTTCCTTCGTTAACAACCGACATCTCTGATTGTAATCTGTTGAGCTTTTCTGAAAGTTCTTGATTTTGTTGGTTCAGTTGATCTTTTTCTTGACGCGATTTATTTAGCTCATCCTAATTAAACAAGTAAACGAACAAATAAGTGGATATAATTACACATTATATGTATATTTATTATAGAATTATAATTAAGTGACTTTTTTGAAAATATTATATAATTTTATTAAATTACCATATTAGATTTATATTTATCTGCGATAACCTTTAGTTTATTTAACAAAGTTTGATATTGTGTTTCTAATTGATTCTTTTCTTCTTTAATTGATTCACAATGAGTCAACAATTCTTGCTTTTCCTTTTTTATTGCTTCCTTTTCTTTGTCTATTTGCTCAACCCGCGATCTCAACTCTAATAATTCCGAACTCATTTGCTCATTATTGTTTATTGTCGATATAGGTGTTACCATATTATTATTTTCAAATGTTCCTAAAGTTACAGTTCTTGCAGATTCTATTGACATCTTTGTTGTATATTATTAATTTTTATTTGATGTCGTTATTATTGTTTTTATTGTTTTAGTTATGTTTGTTGCTTTTAAAACGAGTTCTACAGGTTTAATCTATAAATTTTATTTATAAGAAAAAAAAAATACTCTAATGCCTTTTTATTATTATTATTAATAAAATGAAAGAACATTTGCATAATCTTTACATAATGAAAAACCCAAATAATACTCATATAGTCGGAATTCTAAAAGTTGGAGTTAAAAAATTATTTATTGTGGTAGATAAATTTAATTAACACATATAATTATTATCCGAGTATAATCATCTTAATTATCTTGTATATGTGTGTTAAATTTTTTTAATTTCGTAAAGGATAAAGTAGGAAATCAGCATGAGATAGAGCCATTATGTGTCCTTGATTTCTATATACACGAGAGTTATCAAAGATCAGGATATGGTAAACAAATATTTGAATTCATGTTAAAGAGTGAGGACGTCTCACCAAGTAAATTAGCGTATGATAGGCCATCAGAAAAATTTCGCTCATTTCTTAAAAAACATTATAATTTAATTAATTTTATTCCACAACCCAATAGTTTTGTAGTCTTTGATCAATATGGATTATCAGGTTTGATTTACATTGTTGATCTATATATATTTTATAAAAAAATACAAATTTAAAAAATTGATTTTTTTTAATTTTTTGTAGATTCAAATAATAATAGATTTGATAAAAGGCCAAATACACGTAGTAGGATGCAACATAATAGATCTATGAGTGATTGTGGTAGAATAGATAAAAATAGTGTCGTTGTGGAAAATGAAAGAATTGTTGGACATAGATATACAAGATCTCTCACTTCAAATCGTCACTCTTATATTTCCTCTGATTATAATAGTGACAGTGGTAGTGGCAGCAATACTTCAAAATCAGATAAAAATAAATTTTTATCAGTCACAGCAGCTGAACATTCAACAATTCCAAATGAATTATATGCAGAAAGAAAACGTGAAATTATAAATAATCATAAAGAAAATTTTAAGAAATCATTGTATGGTAACAATCCAATTTCATGGAACAATGAGTAACAACAAATAACAACAATTAA